ACACACACACACACACACACACACACACACACACACACACACACACACACACACACACACACCACAGTAAACACTTTGTTATGAAACAATCTCTGGCTGCACAGCATGGCGGGGTCTCCCAGAGGTGGTAGATTGGGGGGGTCCCTGTTCCTGGTGTATAGAGGTGTGCCTCAACAAGCTGAAAGGCAAATAGGGAGACGTGAACCAAAAGCCACCTGCCTAGGAGAAGGAAAACTTTGCCATAAAACTCAGGAACCATCAACACTCATCAATCGTCCACCCCTGTGGATGGCAAGTTGACAAGTACTTTTAAATAGAGCAAACAAAGTACCAGCCCCCAGTAGGCCTACACAGCAAATGGGGTTTTTAAAACCTCCGGGGACCCAGCCTGCAGCACATTTGGCACGAATGTTGCAGGTGGTCCTATGACTGTGCCTCTGGCCCGTCTGGTGGGGAGCCAAGCTGGACAGGCCAGCAGTACAGTGACTGGAACAAGCTTTACTCAGACCTCGGGACCTGATGCCTACATGTCAGATTCTGGACAACCGGAGGGTTTATTGCTTTGGGGCTCAGTGATGGTGAGGGCTTTTGCCTCAGCTGTTGCTGGGTCTACAGTGCGTACCCAGTGCAGGTGTAGCCCTTGACTGTACCCTATCGGGGAGCGGTCAGTGCCTCACAAGTGCTGGGGTCTCTAGGAGATGAGGACACCAACCTGCTAATAGCTTCCAAAATGCCTAAATCAATCCGTTCTCCTCCTGTCTCCAAGCTTTGCAACCGGCCCAGAACCTCTCCAGAAGCTGTTCTGTACCGACAAACTGTTTTGACTGGTTGTTTCTGAAATGTGGTGCGTTTAAGGAAATGGGAAAAATAGGTTTCATTGTGCAGTCAAGCACTTCCTGGTCACAAAACGTTCTCTAAATGCGCAGCAAATGCGTAAAAATGCGCACATTATGGCAAAAATTATTTATCATTAAATCTGATTTTATTTGGAAGTAAATAAAAAATAAARCTATATAAAAACATTACTTTTATAAAGTTTGAAGTCTGGACTGTCCAACCCAGTTCAAAAGAACACTCTGTAGGCTGCCAATTTTTTTTACAGAAGCACTTTGAAAGCATCACCTCTCGGCCCGCTCTGGAGCAGGCGTCAACCTCAATAACCTGTATATAATACTATCCCCCATTTTATGGATGATTTTTAGGGTTAATTTTCTAGTATTTTATACAAGAATAAATACAGCACTCCGTTTTATCTCTGATATTGTCTCTCTAAACTAAATCTCTGGACCCAGCTGTGGTTGACTCACAGATCAGTCACTGCTTCACCTCGTCCTCCCTGTGCCTCGTGACATCAAACAGCTTGCAGATTAAATTTAAGATTCTCATATATTTAATTTATGTAATGTGGATCAAAGCATTGAAGTCATAAAATTATATTTATTTCATTAAGTTTAATTGCAGTTCTGAACATACTTAGTGTTTTTCTTCCTTTTTTTTCCTCGTTATCATCTCTCTATGCAATTCACAATTATTGGCAAACATCTTTTAGGACAGCCAATGGGGACTTTTCTTGCTCAGGAGTTGGCAACACTGCTCACTGATGATGTCTGATTCAGGCTGATCGAGTCAGTTCTGTACACATCAGGTTCCTGTTGGTCTGACTGACGTGTGCTGGAGCAGCTGCTCGTTATCTTTAGTTGATCCGACATGTTTGGAAATGAACAGGCTGCTGGTGTTAGAGCAGAACAGTTTATGTTTGCATGTTTTAATCTAAAGCAGATCCAATATAAGTGCTTCAGTTTCAGGCTCAGGGTTTGATTTAAGTCTGGTCTGACCCTCAGTGTGTGTTAGCACAGAGAGGAGTGACAGACTGACTGTTGCTGTGAGTCTATGGGTCAGCTTTTATAACCATATGATCTTTCTGTGAGGAGTTTGCATGTTCTCCTCGTGCTTTCGTGGGTTTTCTCCAGGTACTCCAGTTTCCCTCACCCCCAAAAACATGTACAATAGTTCATTTTCAGGCCCAGGCCTCCCTTGGAAAAGAGCTCTGTGATCTCAATGGGACTTGCCTGGATAAATAACAGTAAATAAAAATAAATAAAATCCATCACCAGGAATATATCATGGATTTATACCCATCTGTTTGGTACATGTCTTTTAGTTTTCTTCTTATGTTATTTAAACATATTGTAGACTTAGTGTTAGAGCTGCTCTGGTACCAGATTTTTATAGTTTGTGACAGCCCTGGTTCTATTTCTCTTTTTTTGCTCCTCATGTTGAACGACACTTTTCCTGAAGCTTTTTTCTTCTTCTTCATTTTATTGCTGAATTCTGTGGTTGGTCTGGTGGTGCTGTCATTCCCCACACATGAAGACTGGGATGATTTGTGGGACATTCACCTTCTCGAAGCCAAACCATCACCATGAGAGAGGAAGACCCACACCTGACTATAAGACGTGAAGACGATGAAGTCTGCAAAGCCAGTAGCGTATTAACATGTTGGTTCGGTTCTTTTTTGTTAGTCCTTGGCAGCTTGTTCACCTTCCATTTACTGCGATGGAGCGTTCTGGAGCCTGAATACTTGTGAGCCCTGGTACAACTCATGAAGCCGCCTCCTTCTCAGTCTTCTGTTCTGGAGGTTAGGTTATATTTCTGTTTTCCTCTGGTTACACTCATAAAGCTGGAACGTTTGATGGTTGGTGAGGTGGGGTCAAGAGCACAGACAGCAGACGGGTAGAAATCCAAAACTGATTTCTGCGAATGAAAACTAAACCAGACTTGAAAAATAAATGAGTTGCAGAGTAACAAGTGAGAATGTGACAAAGAGTGAGTGAAACCAAGCTGCTAACTGATGATCAGCAGCAGGGGATTATGGAGTTTGATTACAGATGGATAACAGGTGTGTGAGATATTATAAGCTGAGCAGTAAATCACTGACATAACTGAACACTAAAACATAATAACCAGGAAACTGACACAAACAACAAGAAACCCTAAAACCTTTTCTGATTTTCATCAGTAAATTCTGCTGCCTCACTAGCTGCGTTTCCATTGCAAATGTGCGCAAAACTGTTGATATTTAATGTAGAAAAAACACAGTTTCGCAACTGCGGTGTTTCCATTAAGAAATGCTATTAAAGTCACACGTGAATACATTTGTTCTCGCGATAAGTCATTACAAACATGGCGGCGATGGATGTAAACACATAGCATGTTGCTACCACGACACTAACGCTCATCATCAGACGTCAGCGTCTTTTATCGAGGCTTTCCAGCAACAAAGTCCCTACTTGGGAGTGGCTACGTGTGCTGTGTTTTTGGGAAATTGTAGTCGGTGAGTTTACTATTTTATACTACTTCTGTGATATTACTACCACTTATACTTCCTGTTATCTTCTTCGATGTCATCTTTTTCGCCAGTAGAAACAGCCGGTTGTTGATCACGTGACTCCCGTGATGCGAAAAAAGTGTTTCCATTGCAGTTTTGCAAAAAACACCAATTTCGATACGGCCGAAAAACCACCAAAACATTTGTCGAAAAACGTCATTTTTTCTAAATTGACGTGTTTCCATTGAGCAAATTTATTTTTGGAAATTCTAATTTGCACATTTTCATGGTCAATGGAAACGCAGCTAGTTTGTCCTCATGATCTTTGAATCATTTGGAGTTCATGTGTGTTTGATATTTGTTTACAGGCGGTTTACTCTGCCAGTATTCCAGAGGACCTCCCGGTCCACAGCATGGTGCTGAGAGTTGGAGCCACAGATGCAGATGTAGGAAACAGTGCTCAGATTCACTACTCCCTACATGGTCCTAAATCCCAGGACTTCAGCATGGACCCGGACACTGGTAAGGACAGAGGGCAGCTTTGGAAATATTCCTTTATATGTTTTATTCTAAACTCTGTGGTCTCTGTGGCTTCCCCTGAGTTTTTATTGTGTTTTTGATTCCTGCTCAGGTGAGATCAAGTCATCAGTAACTCTGGACCATGAGACCACACCTCACTACAGGTTAATTACGTGTTTCCATTGAGAAAATTTATTTTCAAAATTCTAATTTGCGCATTTTCCCGGTCAATGGAAATGCAGCTATTGTCAAAACAACAGTTTGAATCTATATACATAAAGGAAGAAGGCTTTTTCTGTTGGTCCGGGGTAAACTCAAAAACTATAACAGGTAGACCCTGAAAAACCATGTATATTCTGATTCTCCATCAAGTAGGCCACAATCTGGTATTGCTTTCAATGAAATCTGTTTAAAAATAATACCAATATTAACCAAAATAGAAGTATGCCTACATCGGGGTACTGCAAAATCAAAACCCTTACCAATAAACTGCCTACATATACCTACATGTATTGGCCTGGATAGCTCAGTCAGGAGAGTTCTAGCTTGCAAACTAGCCAGCCAGGGTTAAATTCCTGCTAGACAAATGTGTTTTTATTTCTCTTGCCCAAATTTTCCCACTGAAAATACATTGAAATGCACGTTGGTAATATTGGAACTTTTAAATGTCCACAAAATCATTATTATTTGAACAACTTCCATGCAGTTTGGTTCTATTTAATCATTTTATTTTACTCTATCAATTTCCATGATCAAAAGTCACCTAACATGTTTTTTTTTTTCAATGAAATGTCACACCAAGTTCATTTCAACGTCATCGAAAAAAAACGATTATTGTTCACCTATGGGTCCTTATCTTATTTATACATGTTAAGTGCATGTTACGTTTGTTGTTACCCATTTTATGTTTGAAACTTTGTAATAAATTACATCTGCAATACAAAGTTAGAAGTTAAATGTGTTTCTCGTTTAACCTAGGCATAGCCAAGTACTCTTAGGCCACTGTCGGATTCACTTGGTTTTGGAACTCCCCATCTTACAGTTTTCCAAGACAGACTTTAGCCAGTCCAACACATTATTATGGTTAGAAGACATCAGTATAACAAAAACAATCATTGGGCAATCATGGGACTACCCAGGCAGTGCGGGGTATCCCAGCTAGTATTTTTTTTTATAAATGACACATCTCACTAGCCTTCAGTTCATTTATTTCCTGAATGTATTTTCAATTAATATTTTGGTGTTGGGATAATTTCATACTGCTGCCATTAATAACAATGTATACTTAGAGGACAGAATGACAAAAAGAGACTCACCAGTGCATGTACAGCGTGAGGTCCGGTGGAACCGAGGGGAGACAAAACTGACCCGAGGGGTGCTGTACGTGGCCAGGTTGTGTGAGTCCAGGATGATGCTCTGTTCACACTGCGCCCCTCGACACTCCAGCCCTGAACAGTTCTTATCCAGGATGGCAGAGACTCTGAGCACCTCCTCCAGCTTCCTCCGTGATGTGCTGAGCTTCTGCGTGAGGTAAGCAGCCTTGTAGAAGCCTCCTCCTGCTGTCTGCACACAGACCAGCAGGTCCAGTTGCTGTGTCCCTCCAACAGGCTGCAGGCTGAGCAGGTGCAGCGTGTCGCGTTGTTGAGACATGGCCGCCTGCTGCATCACCTTCAGGACACTCTTCAGGTACAAGGCCACAAAATCTTGTGGAGCTACACTCTCAAAGCGCACTGTCACTGCATCCCGGAGCATCTCCAGTGTGGCTTGCTCCACGTGCACCGTGATAGGAACAGGTACAACGAAGCGGCCATCACTGACACTGGCATTGAGAAAGTATTCCCCCGCATCCAGACCCCCCAGAGCAATGATCTTCCCATCATGGGGACTGATCTTAAACAGACTGCGATGGGCTGGAGGGGCATGTCCAAATGTAAGAGCATCGTAAGGGTCAGCATCAGTGGCGTGCAGCTGACCAATCACACCACCAGGAAACTCATCCTCCATGGTGACTATATGAATCTCCAGGGGCAGGGCAACGGGTCGATGGAGGCTCTCCTCGATCACTCTGACTGTCAAAACAGAGGAGGAGGACAGAGGAGGCTTCCCAGAGTCTGACACCTGGACAGGACAGATAGAGATCAAACAAATACATCATACACAGGTGAGAATAAATTACACACAGGATTAGAAGCCAGACAGTACCGATAGACCCAAACATGGAGTGAGGGTTTGCTGGGAACGCCTGGCAGAAGAACCGAACACAAAGATCATCAACTCAAATCTCTAACACCTAAACTATATCCCAGCTGAGGTGGGGGACATTGAGCATGAGTGGGTCATGTTTCGCGCCTTATTTGTTGAGGCAGCTGCCTTGAGCTGTGGCCCCAAGGTTGTCTGTGCTTCTCGAGGTGGCCATCCTTGACCTCGGTGGTGGACTCCCTGGGTAAGGGAGACCGTCGAGCAGAAGAAGGAATCTTATCAAGCCTTGTTGGCCGATAGGACTCTTGATCAGCTCTGAGGAGATTCTGGCAAACTATCCTACGACTGAGGTGAGGGAAGCAGCCATTGACCAACACTGTGCTCAGTGACGGAGTTCCAATTATAGGGGCATCACTCTGCTTAGCCTCCCTGGTAAGGTGTTTTCAGGGGTATTGGAGAAGAGAGTCCGATTAATGGTTGAACCTCAAATTCTGAAGGAACAATGGTAAATGGACTGAACTTATATAATGCTTTATCAAGCCCCACAGGGACCCCAAAGCACTTTACACTACAGTTATTCACACACTGATGGTGGTAAGCTACACTGTAGCCACAGCTGCCCTGGGGCACACAGACAGACGTGGGGCTGCTTGGCACCTAAGTCACCGGACCCTCTGACCACCAACAGTAGGCAAGGTGGGTGAAGTGTCTTGCCCAAGGACACAACGACTGAGATGGCTGGAACAGGGGATCAAACTGGCAACCGTCTGGTTACAGGACAACTCCCCTAACCACTCCCCCACAGCCGCCAAAAAATGCAGACTCCGTCCTGCCCGTGGAACAATGAACCAACTCTTTACCCTCACTAGAGTTTTCGAGGGGTCATGGGAGTTTGTCCATCCAGTCTACATGTGTTTTGTGGACTTGAAGAAGGGAGTCTGGTTCAGTGGCCTCAGGATTTCATCTCTGCTGTTTGCAGATGATGTGGTCATGTTGGCATCATTCATTGCACCGTGATCTTCAGCTCTCACTGGAGTAGTTCACAGCTGAGTGTGAAGTGGTTGGGATGAGGATCAGCACCTCCAAATCTGAGTCCATGGTCCTCAGTCAGAAAAAGGTGGATTTCTCCCTCTGGGTTAGGGGTCAGGTTCTGCCTCAAGTGAGGAGTTCAAGTATCTCGAGGTTTTGTTCACAGTGAAGGAAGAATGGAGCATGAGATTGATAGATGGATCAGTGCAGCTTCTGCAGTTTTGCGGACTCTGTACCAGTCTGTTGTGGTGAAGAGGGAGCTGAGCTGTAAGGCAAAACTCTCTGTTTACCGATCAGTCTACGTTCCTACTCTCACCTATGGTCACAAACGTTGGGAAGTGACGAAAATAACGAGATCTTAGATACAGGAGGTTGAAATGTGTTTTCTCTGCAGGGTAGCTGAACTCTTCCTTAGAGATAGGGTAAGAAGTTCAGTTCTCCAGGGGAGACTTAGAGTAGAGCCACTGCTCCTCCACATGCAGAAGAGCCAGTTGAGATGGTTCATCTGGTAATGATCCCTCCTTGGAGAGCAATGGGCCCACTTACGAGGCCCCCGCTCCTATGGATTCTTTATCCATCCCCACTCACCATAAGGATGCCTCCTGAACGCCTCCCTAGGGAGGTGCTTCAGGCATGTCTGACTGGGAAGAGACCCTGAGGAAGACCCAGGACACGCTGGAGAGACTATAGCTGTGTTTCCATTGCAAATGTGCGCAAAACTTTGTAGATATTTTGTTAATGTCGAAAAAACACTGTTTCGCAACTGCGGTGTTTCCATTAAGTAAGAAATGCTTTTAAAGTTACGTGTGAATACATTTGTTCTCGCGATAAGTCATTACAAACATGACGGCAATGGATGTAAACACATAGCATRTTGCTACCRCGACACTAGCGCTCATCATCAGAGGAGACGTCGGCGTCTTTTATCGAGGCTTTCCAGAGACAAGTCCCTACTTGGGAGCGGCTATGTGCGCTGTGTTTTTGGGACATTGTAGTCCGTGAGTTTACTATTTTATACTACTTCTGTGATATTACTACTCTTTCTACTTCCTGTTATCTTCTTCGTCATCGTCTTTTTCGCCAGTAGAAACAGCCGGTCATTGATCATGTTGATCATGTTGACCATGTCAAAAAGTGTTTCCATTGCAGTTTTGTTAAAAACACCAATTTCGATACGGCCGAAATACCACCTCATCCTAGCGCAAAAACATTTTGTCGAAAAACGAAATTTTTTTCGAAATTGACGTGTTTCCATTGAGCAAATTTATTTTCGAAATTCTAATTTGCGCATTTTCATGGTCAATGGAAACGCAGCTTATGTCTCTCGACTGACCTGGGAACGCGTTGGAGTGCTCCATGAGGAGCTGGAAGAGTTTGCTCTGGTTCTGTTCTGTCACTCACCTGTATATGAAGAGCATATTCAGTAGCTATGTCCCTCCTAAAGACGTGACTGGCCACAAGCGTCCCCTCTCTCTCCAGCACGAACTCCCTCCCCTCGTTTCCAGACAGGATGCTGAAGTGAAAGGGGGGTCCATTACGAGACGAGTCCTGATCCAGGACCGACAGCTGCAGGATGGTGGTGCCGATCGGCTTGTTTTCCTGAGGGGAGAGTAGGATGTGGGGGTATATTAGGACTGTTAGACAAAGAACCAGCAGAGGCAGAGATTTTATCTAAGGCAGTAAAACTGAGACTTTGCCTCTGTCATAACATAAAAACTATATTTGTCATTGTCTCTGTCGGGATTCCTTATTTCTTAGATTTTCTCCATAATTTATCTGAGTCTACATCTGTTTGTACACCTATAGATTATTTCATCAAAGCTCTGCAGTCTGTCCTCTCATTATTGGGGGTGGGGAGGTACATCTTTGTGTTCAGACATTAAAAATAAATGTAGTGTTTCACTCCAGCCTTTAACTGTGTCCATGTTTTTTCTTCTATAAAAATGACTTGTATGTGTGATGAGCACTGAACTGATTTGACCTGACGTCTTCTGTTTACCTGTATGACAGCAGTGAGGTTGGTGGGGGCGAAGGTGGGGGCGTTGTCATTGATGTCAGAGATTTCAATGTTGACCATTGTGGTGGAGGACATTGGTGGAGTTCCAGTATCCAAAGCTCTGATGGCCAGAGAGTAACTGGAAACCTGAAAAAGTCCAAACAATGAGAGATTTTACAAACAAAATAATAATAATAATTTTATTTCCCTTTATTTAACTAGATAAATATTGTCTGTGGGCCAAAAAAAAGGCTTTAGTTTAGGAGTTGGCTGCACCTTCCTTGTAACTTTAGTTTGATGGTTCCAGCATGTTCCCAGGTCATATAATACAACATTTTCACTTGCTGTCATTGGCACAACCTGGAAGGTAATTCTGACAACAGCCTTTTGTAAACAAGGGGTCAGTCAAAAAGACGATTTTAGGGCTTTTACATTAGGGGTGCAACGATACAGAAAATTCACGATTCGGTTCGGTTCGATACTTTAGTCTCACAGTTCGATATTTTTTCGATACAAAAAAGAGAAATTTCCATGCCCATTGCAACTTGTAATTTATTTAAATTAATTATGAACATTTGTTTAACCTCAAAAGTACAGTTTTTAAATTAAATGTTGCTGAAACAGCAAGTTTCTCAGTGGATCTGTGATCAAAAATGCAGCCTAGGTGGAGTAGTCGAACACAGATCCACTGATCCTTCAACACAGAACATCTTCAGAAGACAAGCTGATAAAGTAAAATTTAAAAATCTGTATTGTTCCATACAAGTGTGTATTGAACCTAAAGCTCTGTTCGATACGCGTCCATGTATTGTTGCAACCCTACTTTACATCAGATTTGTTACAAAGTGGGTCTGGTGAATATCCAATGTCCCAAATATAACCTAGATAAAGTGTGTATGAACATAAATAAATCAGTAAACACTTGTATTTTTTATTTACCTAAAGGAATTATTATGTTTCTATGAAATTATGCCATATTTTTTCCATTTAAAGTGCAGAATAATTAGTAATTCATGAGAAATTATGGGCTATTCATTGTTTTCTGTTTCTTTCTACTGCATTGTGGAAGTGGGGGTGCAGGGGTTAGAGAGACAGGCCTGTGATTGAGAAGTTGTTAGTTTGAATCCCCTGACTGTTATATCAAAATGAGGGTGGGAGAGGTGAAGCACCTGCACCTGCCTCCACCATCACTGCCCCACTCTGGGCCTTTAACCTCTTTGAATTGTAATAAAGTCCTCAGATACAGATGTCACAGTGCTAGCCTGTACTTTCAGCAGCCAAACAGGTGCTCAGACCTTCATCTCTTCAGGTACAAAGCAGCAACTGAGATATATTGAAATGTAAGTCCTACTGGACAATCACATGGGGAAGATTTGAGCAAAGCTTTATCAGGACTGCACGCCTTGACAGGTGTGCTAGCACAAGCTCTTTTGTGGGAAAAAGCAAGAAACAGGCATTTCAGCTGGTGGAGTCTGATCTGTGCAATGTCATGATGAACAGCTAAAAGTGTGTGTCTGCTCTTTGTGCAAGTACAAGGGTGAAGACACAGATCTTGTCAGGTACAAACTTGTCATCTGCCGCCCACCAAAGATGCACTGAGGTACCAGAAAGCATGTGTAAATTACCAGGCATGTATTTGGCATCTGTTCCTGAATGCTGCTACTCAAACATCCAGTCCAGAGGGTCGTGGCTGAGATGTGGTTGATGACCACATTTCTATCCACTGGATGGATCTGGAATTTTTTCAAACTAAAGTTACAAGGGGGTGCAACAAAAGTGCACAATTCCTGATTTGGCCCACTGATTAATCCCACTGAGATACTGGATATGTTTTTCAAGCGAGGCCTGAAGGCAGACTAACAACGGAGATTACAACAGAGTCTGCCAGGTCCAGGTCCAACAGCTGACTGTTCTGCACTGAATCACTGCTTGAGTCCAGGTTTGAGGTCCCCCACCACCACACCATCTGAGACCAGCAGTGTGTCCATGGTGCCCACTCTGTTATTATCTTTTACCAGCTTCTTCCTTTCAGGGTCACTGGTGCTCATATCCAGCAGTCACTGTGCGAGGGGTGGGGTCTACCAACTGAGCCACTGTGCTGCACCTGTTCTCCATCTGATGTGATACTGTAATTATTCTGATACAGTCACATGACCTTCCAACACTTCCTTCACTGCGTCTGTGTGTTTTTGTTGCTGCAGTGCTTCTATGGTCAAACTGGAACCACAACAACAACACCCTGAGGGTTAGGGTCTTATAACAGAGATCACATGACATTAACTACAGGATTACTCAGTGGAGAAAATGTTTTTTATTGTCATGTGGGTCACTTGACACATTTATAGGATTTGCTTTAGTAAGAACTCATATTCTAGCTCCTTGACCTCAGGTCTTCTACCAGTATCAGTGTTTAGACAGATTACCTCATGCTTCATAGTCACTTTTATTCCCAGTGGAAGGTGTCTCCTGCTCAGGCTACTGAACAATACAACATTTCTAAGTGTTATATTAGCTTCACGTGAGATCAGGTTTATATGATTTGTAGAGTTTGTGACTCACCTCCAACCCAATGAACAAACCACAATGAAGCCCTTTTAGACTCAGTAAATGCTTGGCTTTTCAATAAACACATTATTTCAATAAACACTAGAAACCCATCATATGACCAACGACCATCAGCTTTTACTCAGAAAAACAAGATATTATTTTGAGATGAGTAAGTTTTTTAATAATCTGGAAGCTCTGTTCACAGTTTGCTGCCAACAGTGGCAGCCCATTGAGATGCTGGTTTCATCAGCCCATGTTTATATTTTTACATGTCTGAACTGGCTACAATGCTGGCTACCAGTGAACCCATGGTACCTCCATCCCTGTCTGTAAAAAGTATCTGTCTAAAATGCAAGCTCACAGAAAAGGGTACATACTGACTGAGAAAGAACTGAGTCCAGTTATTTCCTTACATCAGCCAGCTTCCATGTTGTTTCACTGACAGCAGAAATTCTGTGCCATTCCACATTATTACAAATAACTTCATTTCTGGACATTTATGGTTTGATTTCTTTGTATGTATGGATCACTTGGGTTGTTACCGACATCTGGTGAAAATTTCATGTCATTAGCACCTCTAGTGAAATATTTACTGAGAAAAATGTTGACGTGTTCAATACTTATTTCACCTGCTGTATATCTCTTTTAGAGATAAAATTTGATAAAATAGAAACTAAATCACGGTCCATTGCATGCTGGTTAATGACCGCTATGTTTTATGACGAGGACGGAAGGTGGAGCTAGCTGACAATCAGGAAAGCAGATGTGGGAGGGGATAAAAGCAATTTAAAATTAAAGCCTGTGAAATCGTGTTTCTACTGATATAGTTCTTATATTTGAAGTGTAACTAACCCCAAAATCAACTTTCTGACTAACTTTTTTGAAGAACTTTTTGATATATTTATATTTCTGTGCAAAAGTTGATGTTTCCATGTAAATTTGTTAACTGATCTTTTACAAAAACTCCGCCAAGGAATTTCTCTGATCTGGGGAAGAACACTAAAAGGAAAACCAGTCCAGTCATAGTATGTTAATGTCACAGAACCACGCTGTAGATTCAAAGCAGTAGAAGTGTATCTGAGTGTGAGTATCCTTACTGTCTCACGGTCCAGTGGCTTGTTGACCTTGATGACTCCACTTATTGGGTCAATAAAAAACTGGTTGTTCTGGTCTCCACTGACAATGGCGTAGAGGATGGCTCCGTTCAGATTGCTGTCAGCATCTTCTGCTACCAGCTGCAGGCACAGAGACAGACATGCTGAGTAAACTCTAGTTTATAATGACTTCTGATGGTTTACAGTCCTCACGTTTTACAAACGAACATAAACATTTTACAAGATAAACATCTATTTAACGTATGTCATACAGAGACTTTTCTATTTTAAATCATCACTCTTCAAACCACAAGTGAGCTGAAACAGTTGTAGTTACAGAGACTTTAAACAGCAGTCTGATTCTGTGATGTGTGTGAGTTTCCTAGTGACAAAGGATGTGGGGACCCTCTGAGTCCCCCGGCTGACAGTGGTGGGCACCAGTCCGCTAAAGTGCAAATCCGCTAATTGCGGACCTAAATATTTCGATTGTGCTTTAGTGGTCTTACTAATTTTTATAATTCATAAGCAGATATGTGCTTTCTAAAATTAAACTGCAGTACCGCTAATAACTAATTATCTACCAGTCATCATTATCTTGAACAGCAGAAGGTATGACTGTCAATGAATCACAACACATGATCTGTCCAACAGCACCCCTCCCAGATAAACACACTTATTGTGAAGGTATACATCCTTGCTGACTGTTGCTTTGGGTCACAGTTCTGATTTCCCACAATGCTTTGTGTCTGCTTATGTAGTTGGAAGGCAATGTTTAGAGCTCCCTGTACCAGCAAAAACAGTTAACGTTTGTAATCCATACTAAAATTTTGTATGTATGGATCTATTTTACTTTACAATCGGAGCTCCTTTTAAAAAAAATGATAATAAAGTTTAAACACTGGAGCTCAATACTTGACATAATTGGTCGAAGCAATCGGCCATCGAGGTTACAGACTCAGAAATGATTCAAAGATGTTATGCTGATGAAGACTGACATCTAGTGGTCAACTGGAGCAACTACATGGAAAACTTTAAAATCCAWGCTCTTATTTTGAAGGGAAGATAGTTTCCTGTACTCCGTGCTTTCATTTCCCATCACAAATCAAATCCGTCATGTACCCAGAATGCATCGCTTCAGTTTTCCAATAAACAGTTTTATAATGACTTTATTGATGCTTCTTTAATGAAAAATCTACAACAAACAAAAGAAAAAGACAAAGAATCAGCCGAACTAGCAATCCTCAACAACTTTTTAATTGTTACACCAGGAGCTAAACTGTTTCAGGAAATCACATCCCCAGCAATCGGTAGTTGTAGGATTAATCTGTAAAAGGGTTCATACACCGCTAATTGGCAGTGTTGTACATATGTTGTACATGAGTTGTTGCCAGCTAGTAAGTGTGAAATTAACTTGCACTATAAAATTAGCTTCTGCTACTATTTCTATGCTTTTGAAGTTGTGGACCTAAATATTTTCATAAGCGCTTTAGAAATTGCGGAGCTAATTTCTGGATCAGTGCTGCCCACCACTGCCGGCTGAGGTGCCTTCATGCTGAAATTCCCCTTAATGAAGGACAGGGTCAGGTTTCTGACTGTTGTTGGTGTTTCTGCAGCATGAAGCAGTTCAGAAGACCTGGTCTTTCAGGTGTTCTGGAAGAGGTTCAGACCTTTGGCCCTGTGGCTCTGACTCTTGGGTCCTGGGCCATGGACTGGTTATCAGACCTTTACCCTTTAGGAAAATCTTTACTGAAAAACAGAATCTGTAGATGTTTTTAGATAAAAACTGTAGAGTTCAACTTTAATCAGCTCAAAATTACAGACCTGTGGGTAAAATCTGCTCAAATAACCTTCAGTTGATTCAGTCACCTAACCTCATTAGTCCTGTCCACAGCTGTCCTCCATCCTGTCCAGCCCCAGCTGTGTCCAGCTGCAGTCCTACATGCTGCCTCTCAGCTGCGTGCAGTTTGTGTTTTATTGCACTATTCTTTTGTACTCCTTTTGTAATTATTAAATCTCCTCTGAGCTGCTTGTGTTGTCTGTTTTCCTGTGAAGCAAATAATATGTGATCCTGGAGCACAGAAGAGCTCAGTTACAGCCAGGTAGGACTGCATGGTCCTGTAGGCTGTAAGAGGAACAATCAGTAAGAATTTACTGGATCTGGTGATGGCTGCTAACTGTCCTGAGGAGGTGACAGGAAGTGAAACAGCATCAGACCTGTCAGGCTGCTTCTTTTACAGAAGAGAAAGAAAAACGACCCACTCTGCTCTAATGTCACCTGCTTCATGCTGGCTCAAATACATTATACTGTACACCTGCACTAGTTTAACCCTCTCTCATACAAGCTCAGATGAACAGAAACACATTTATCTTCCTCCTGCCTGTCTCTGCTCCAGCCCCGCCCACTCTCACCTGCTCCTCATCATTCTCTCCCAGGTGTTTCTTGTTGTAGCTCGTTAGTTCCCCTTTATGTTCTGTTCTCTGTCCTCAGTCTGTCAGAGCTTTGTTTGTTTGAATCGTCCCAGCAGTCATGTCCTTGTTACCCGTTCATGTCCCAGATATTTTTGTAAGTACTTTTGATGCCACGTCAGCCTTTTGTTCTTGTTAAATAAAGCCTTTTTTGTACCTTTTTGGCCCATTAATCATTCAGTCCTGCACCCAGGGTTCAACCTTCCAAACCATTACATTATCACTTGAAATAATGAATAATTGTTTGAAGAATTCTAACAAAAACAGGATGAAGACTGTTTTGAGTTGACCTTGGCAACAAACTGTCCAACAGCAGCATCTTCTGACAGCACTGCAGAGTACAGGTCGTGGCTGAACACGGGTGTGTTGTCGTTGACGTCTGTCAGGTTGATGTTGACGGTGGTGACGGCGCTCAGAGTGGGCGTGCCTCCATCACGAGCCTCTACTGTCAGGAAGTAGTCCCTGCAGGTCTCATAGTCCAGAGGCTGGGCCACTAAAATGGCTCCTGAGGAAGAGTTTGTAACAACTGGAGCTTTACAAAAAACACATATCTGACACAATGATACAGTAAACTCATTATAACCAGTTCAGTTCTGAGTAAGAGTGAGTAGATGGATGGATGGATGGATGGATGGATGGATGGATGGATGGATGGACGGACGAGTGGATGGATGATTGGATGATGGATGGATGAGTGGATGGATAGATGGATGGATGGTTGGATGGATGATGGATGGATGGATGGATGGATGGATGGATGGATGGATGGATGGTTGGATGGATGGATGGATGGATGGATGGTTGGATGGATGGACATTGGATGGATGATAGATGGATGGATGATGGATGGTTGGACGGATGATAGATGGATGGATAGATGGATGGATGGATGGATGGATGGATGGAAGGAATGAGTGGATGGATTGACAGATGGATGCATGAGTGGCTGGGTGGATGGATAGATGGTTGGATGGATGGATGAGTGGTCTATGGATGGATGAGTGGACTATGGATGGATGAGTGGATGGATGAGTGGACGATGGATCGATGAGTGGATGGATTGACAGATGGATCATGGATGGATGGATGTATGGGTGGAAGGATGGATGATGGATGGATTATGGACGGATGGATGGATGGATGGTTGGATGGATGGATTGACAGATGGACGGATGGATGGATTGACGGATGGATGGATGGATGATGGAGGATGGATGGATGGATGGATGGATTGACAGATGCATGGATGGATGATGGATGGATGGATGGATGGATGGATGAATTAAGGAATGGATGGATGGATGGATTGACGGATGGATGGATGGATGGATGACGGATGGATGGATTGACGGATGGATGGATGGATGATGGAGGATGGATGGATGGATGATGGATGGATGGATTTGGTATTGGTAATTGGGGATGGGTACAACCCAGGTGAGCGGGGGCCTCATAAGTGGGCCCATTGCTC